AAAAAAGCAAAGTATATGCTAGAATTCAGTAGTGATAAATACGGCCAATGTCATCACGGTGGTAAGGAATGATCATTAAGTGAACAATCCTAGTCAACTGCCACCCCCCCACAAACACATATTCTGACTGAAGTGAATATTTGGATATAAAGAGTTTTTTGTTTTGTTTTTTTTTTTTTTTTTTTTTTTTTGAAAAAGGGCCCCCCCAGCTGCCCTGGAACCACCTTTTTAGACCAGGCTGGCCTTGAACTCACAGAGATCCGCCTGCCTCTGCCTCCCAAGTGCTGGGACTACAGGCGTGTGCCACCATGCCCAGCAATAAAGTTTTTAAAGTAGTAGAGAAAATATACTAAAATGCAGCATTCTTTAATTAATTAATTCTTTAATACTGGATTGAAGAACACCTTTGCAAACAGGCTATAAAACCAGAAATCAGGAGCTGGAGAGATGGCTCAGTGGTTAAGAGCACTTGCATCTCTTGCAGAGGACTCAGATTCGATGTCCAGCACACACAGCTGATAACAGACATTTGTAACACCAGTTCCAGGGGATCCAACACCCTCTGCTGACCTCCTCGGGCACTGCACAACATGGGTGCACTTACATGCAGGCAATATACACATAAAAAGTAAATTTTTTTTTTTTTGGTCTTTTTTGAGACAGGGTCTCCTTGTAGCCCCAGCTGTCCTCGAACTCACAAAGATCCACCTGCCTCTGCCTCCCAAGTGCTGGGACTAGAGGCGTGCACCACCAAGCCCAGCCAGTAAATTATTTTTTAAAAAAAGAAATTCAAAGTAAAATAGACTGTTCATAGAACGCATTCAATTATATCAGACAAGTGTTAACAAAGGCTCCATTGGTAAGGGTTCAGAAAAAGGAATGTCTTACGTGCAATCAACAGAAATTGAACAGAGAATTTGGACAGGGCAAAGTTTTATCAGCATTTAAAACATAAACTACATAATTTTATAATAGACATTTAAAATAAAGTTAAAAATAGAAGACACTTAGCTTTGCGTTTACCACATTTTGAACAGTCAAGTGGCACTTCTCACACCCTTTCTGCCTTTGCCTTAGCAAACTGTGTCCTCCCAGTCCTCCCCTCTGCTCAGCCTGTCACTCACACTTGCCCTCCCTCTCTCACAGGCAGGCCCTGGAGAACTTTGCTGCCAGCCTTGCTACTTCTCTACTACAAGTTACTCCAAGACCACATTTGTAATTCCAACTACCTATCATGGCAGTTGCTATGCTTTGGATATGGCTTCGTGGCCAATTAACACTGTTGAGAGGTGGGTCTGGAAGGCTGAGGTCTAGCGGAAGGTGATCAGACCACCCTGGAAAGGATGAATACAGTTCTCCCAGGACTGGTTAGTTCTCACAAGAGTGGGCTGCATAAACGAAGGCAAGGAAAAGCAAGAGCATGTGGACGCACCCTTTCCACTTCTGTACCATACTATACCGCAGCCAGAGGGGACAGTGCCGTGCCATTTGGATATCCAGTGACTACAATCATGACCCTCCAAGATCCTTTTTCTTTTTACAGCATCTAGCCTCAAGATAACACAAAACAGACTAAAACAGAAGCCATATTACCAAGTCTCGTATTTCAGCAATATTATGCAGCTGCCAAATTAATAACACTATACTGAAAAACAGCCAGAAATCACAACCAAATATCCTCAGGGTGCCTCAATATTTGCTACTCCTCACTATTTTTCTGTTCAGCTCTAGATTCCATCATCTAAGAAAACTACAGAAAGGACTGGGAGAGGGCTTACTAAATAGCCGAAAAAGATGATTTACAGTTCAGATTAAAGTACAAACTGCCTTTCTTCATCTCCGGCTCCGGGATAAGGTGGGGAGATGGTCTAAGCTTTTGGCTACATAGAAAGGGCCCCACTTAACAGACATTGCTGGAAAGGGCCCAGAAAGAATAAATCATTTCCCTCTGTTCATCACTGCAGTTGAGGTGATTCTTGTGGCTTTGAAGCCCGACATTATCCTTATTGCCATTAGATAATATCTATTGTCTTTGCAAGGTGAATGCTACCTGGATTACACTGCACAAGGTATCCAAATAGCAGGTCTAATACTATACTATGCCCTTTGCGAAAATTTTTTAAAAAGTTTAACCGAAAACAAAATACATAAAACTGCTGCAAACAACCAAAAATGGGTACATTTATTAAGATAACTATTTATGGCAGGGTTAGGATTGCTGTGTGCAGACTGACATTACAGAAAAATACCCAAAAGACCTGGCTACTGGGCTAGAGAGATGGCTCAGTGGTTAAGAGCACCGGCTGCTCTTGCAGAAGACCGGGGTTCAATTCCCAGAACCCACACGGCAGTCAAAAACTGTCTGTAACTCCAATTCCAGATGATGGATGCCCTCTTTTGTCCTCTGTGGGCACTGCATGACACAGGCATACTTACATACATGCATGTATAACATTCATACACAAAATAAAAAAAACAAAATGTAAAAAAAAAAAATTTAAAGGCTTGGCTGCTGAAATAAGGCATTATGCGCCCAGTTAAAAGCAGAGGCTCATAAACAGCAATTTTTATTATTTTGCCAACTTTTTGAGAATCTCAACTAGTGTTTAAATTTTGGAGGGGGGTCTTTTTGAGACAGGGTCTCCCTATCGCCCCAGCTGGCCTCGAACTCACAGAGATTTGCCCACCTCTGCCTCCAGAGTGCTGGGATTAAAGGAGAGTGCTGGAATTAAAGGCATGTGCCACCATACCCAGCCTCTTTTTTTTCCAATCTTTTTGAGACAGGGTCTCCCTTCTAGCCCCAGCTGGCCTGAGACTGACTATATAGACCAGGCTGGCCTTGAACTCACAGAGATCCACCTGCCTCTGCCTCCTGTGTGCCAGGAAGGATTAAAGCCACCACACCTGGCTAGTGTTTGACCTTTAAAGAAGGTCACAGTCTTTGGCCCAGTGGCTATCACCAAGACATAATTATCCATATGGGGACTGGAGAAATGGCTCAGGGGTTAAGAGCACTGGCTGCTCTTGCAGAGGACCTAGGTTCAATTCCCAGCACCCACACGGCAGCTAACAACCACCTGTAACTCCAGTTACAGGAGATCCAACGCCCTCATCTGACCTCCACAGGCACTGTATGGCATGTGTACACTTACATGCAGGCAATACACTCATACACATAGATAAAAATAATACATGTTTTTTTTAATTATCCAGACAAAGTCAAGGCCAGATACAAAATAAGGAAAAATCATAAATATCCATCAATAAGCAAAGGAAGGTATGTTTTCTGAAAACTAGAGAGACTGAAGGCCTGTCTCCCTCCTAGCTGGAGCTGTCTGGTGGGTTAACACACCCACTGTCACGGCTGGTATCATAGTCATGAGAACTTATTCTGGGAGTCATGTTCCTATTTTTTCTAATTAAATTCAGATACACTGTCCTTTGGTCTATATCAGATGCTTTGATTGTCATGCTGTTTATTTTTCAACCTGACACAACCATGATCAGCAGAGTCAGTGAGGACTGGAGCTCCTGCTCGATAGGCCGCCGTCACTCTCCATGTACTCAGAACATTGTTTAGCAGTCAACAGTGGTTCCAGGCAGTGCTCAGAATCTTGACTCAATTACTTATCCCTCTTATTTAAATTCACTCAAAACTCCTCAGATAAAAGAATAACTTCCAGATCTAAGACATTTTAGTCCTTCTTTGGGGAAATGAAATTGATTTTCATTTTCACACAAGAGGACCCCTGGGGAACAATATTGTATCCAGTTATAACCATACTAAAAAAAAAGGCAGCTTTTTTCTTTTAAACTGTTCTAGTGACTGAAAGATTCTGTAGTGTTCTCGTGCTAGAGGTAGAATTCAACCTTATGCTGCTATAGGAGTTCACTAGGTTTAAAAGTGACTCTGACCAAGACAGCAAGCCAGAGGGTCTCCTCATCCATTCCACAGCAGTCACACCTGGCAGTGAGCTGATCAATGTGAGCATGTGGAGGGCAGATGGGGCAGTTCCACATCTGTCCTACTTTCCGCCCACCATATCCCTCCACTTCTCTTCCTGCCACTCATCACTACATGAGTCCACCATTTTCTGCCTTTAATCTCTGGACTTAAAAAATATCTAACAGCAATTTTCAGTGGGAAAATGACCAGAAAAAACCAAGGCTGGGTGTGGTGGCGCATCTCTTTAATCCCAGCAGAGGCAGGCAGATCTTTGTGAGATTGAGGCCAGCCTGGTCTACATAGTGAATTCCAGGCCAGCTGGGGCTACAGGGAGACCCTGTCTCAAAAAGACCAAAAAAAAAAAAAAAAACCCAAAAAAGCAACAACACATTTTTAGGGAACTTGAACCACCCTTCCCAGCTCACAATTTCATTAATTTGTATAGGTTTGCAGAATTTCATTAAGTTTAAATAATGGCTTATACCAAAAGAGAAAACAGTAACTTAATACTTTCTAAAGACAATCTTACGTAGGGTTGCAAAACATCAATAGTAACAGCTGAGGACTGAAGATGAAAATAGGATGTGAACATGAAGCCTGTCAGCTAACCTCCCCCTGCCTCATGCCCCACCTCACTTGAAACATCTGCTCTGTCAAACAGCACTTGATAGTCACTGACCTGGAGAAAAGAGACAGCTACCTACAACACGCACAGTAGCATCCAAACTCGCCTCCTGGCACTGGGCACGACTAGGAAGGATCCAAAAGCCTCTCTCCAAGCTTTTACGGAAAGAGCATATTCTCTAACCATACTGTTTTGCTGAGTAGCAGAAATGTAAAGGCACTTCCCCTTCTGAAGTGTTACCTGTCTCTTTATACTCTACATTTCCACATGCAAATATGGCTCAAAACATGCTGAACAGTTCCACAGTGCATTCTAGATCCTAAGGCATACAATTTCCCTAAGGCTTTATTCTAGACTGCATTTCTGCTGTCCTCTCAAACTCCAAATGTCCTTTAATAAAAATAAAATCATTTATTAACCATAACTAACCTGCAGACACGAGCTGGAAAATACAACTTTTGCCAAGACCGACACAGATAATGTGAATGATCTATCACTCTGATCCAATCAAGTTCATCCATTGACACTTCAATGAAGTAGGAATAAGACCTATGAGGAAAAAGAAAAATTAAAGTTATAATACAAAAGCAAAATAGTAAAAAGTACCAAAAATATAGAGTTCACTAATCATATTGTCTGTATAACAATCAAATTTATCAAATTCAACTAATAATGAAAGCTATATAGAATGCTCTACTGAAGCAGTTACCCAAGCCCTGAAACTGCCTCTCAGCTTATCTGCCTCATCAAATGATAAAGTACTTTAAAAAAAAAAGAGGAATTTTTCTTTCAAACATGGCCAGGATGCCTTGTCCATACCATATGAGCAGATTAAGAAAGCCAAGATGGAGGGAAGGAGAGTGGGAGAGAGAAAAAAGAAGGGCGGTTAGGAGGAATAGAGTGGAGGGGGAACAGGAAATAGAGGCAGGCAAGTGCCTCCTCCTTCAGTGGCCCCTGGCCAGGTGCTGGGGGACGCCAGCATGAAGTGGTTCCCCACAGAGGCCAGCTTACCTCCTGCCACCTCTCAGTCTCCTACCATGCCCACACTTAAAAGCAGCCTGAGGGAAAATAAGCAGCATGGATGAGGAGGTAATGCCCGTTTCTTTCAGATGAAACTTGTAACTTGCCAACTAATAAGCTGACAGTAATGAAACCAGCCCATCGTCCTCGGGTCAGCTCTGTAGGACCTACATGCTAGTCCCATACTGAACAAATCCATATTTTCTTGTCACAAGCCAAGTTCAAATCTAAAGTGCCAGCTATTGCTTGTACTGTAATATCAACAGGAACAATCTTGGAAGATTTAGGTGACTATAAATGTCAGCCTGCAACCCACAGTTGTGGCCAGAAAAGGTCAGCTTATTTTGTGTCATCCCCTCATTTTCTGCTGTCTCCTCAACTCCCATTCATTTTATGGCTCAGTCTCAAACTGGTTATAACCTTTTATTGAACCTCTCTGGGTTATCAGTAATTTGAGATATAATTTTACAACATATCAGAATCTTTTTGGCTTAAAATTTTGAATTTTTCACCTTTGAATAGAATGTTAGCAATGTTTGTGAGGAAAAAAACATGATAAAGCTAAGTCCTCTGTGAATGTGATATAGATAGAAAACAAAGTGGCCTCTAAATATTTAACATCATGGAAATAATAATAACTGCTTTCAGTTTCAAGCATACAAACATTTTTTTAAAAATTATTTTTATACCAATTTCATTATTAAATAGATGGATGGATGAAATACATAAAGCCTACAATAATGCCTACCGTATGAAAGCAATGAAAGTAATATATATTTTCATTACATTTTTAATACTAATCAGAGACTCTTTAAAATGAAAAATATGAATTATCTCCATTTTGTCATTTAAGCATAATCAAATCCACATGTCAAGAAATACATTCTTAATAAAAATGAAACAGAGTCATCGCCTAGAGACTTCAAACACACAGCACATTGAAATGCTGACACACCTTATCAAATTCCCTTTACACACAGCCCAAATGCTCAAAAGAGCCAGCATGGTGGCCAGCTGTACTGACAAGAACTCTCTACCTTCCACATGTGCAGGCCTCATCACTAACACTGAGCCCAGATGCCCAGACCCCAAAGGACATAAGCAGAGTATGTAGGTTTTCAGCTAAAGACAAGCAGCAATGAAGGACTGCTCAGTTCTGGTCACTACACTGCTTTGGTGCTTCACCGCCATGGACGGACCCTATGAGCCATAGTGGACAAAAGTGTGACAGTCCTTTGAGGGAAGGCAGACTCCTGAAGCTGCTGAGAAACTGGAAACATTTCCAGTCTGAAGCTCATCACATTTTCCAAAAATTTCTTTGATCTTAGGCTGGAGAGAATGCTCAGTGGTTAGAGCACTTGCTGCTCTTGCAAAGTTCTCAGCACTCCTGTCTAGTGGCTCACAAATGCCTATAACTCCAGCTCCAACAAGTCAGACACCTTCTTCTGGCTCCAGGGGCATCTGTGCTTATGTCCACATACCACAAACAGATATACACACATATACACATAATTAAAAATAAAAATGTCTTAAAAAATTAATTTTGTTTTGAGGATATTTATCTACACACTAAAAGATAAATTCTTCAAGGCCAGACGTAATTCTAGCACTCAGGAGGCAGGGGCAGCCAGATCTCTGTGACTTTGAGGCCAGCCTGGTCTACATAGCAAGTTCCAGATCAGCCAAGTCTATATAGTAAGACCCTGTCTCAAAAACAAATGAAAGAACTGGGCATGGTGGTATGTATCTCTAATCCCAGCCCTCAGAAGGCAGAGGTGGGGGATCTCTGTTAGACTGAGGCCAGTATGGGCCACCCAGTGACTTCTAGGCCAGCTGGGACTAGGAAGACCCTGTCAAAAATAACACCAAATAAAAAATCCCTAAAAAACAAGAAAAAGATAACTTCTTCAGCCATAGGATGAGATGCATTTTTAAAGTAATTTTAATATCCAAAAGAAGGTATCACACAAGGATACCAGACAATCCGTTCAAAAGTAACAGTTTAGAGGAATATGTTTTTATTTATTTTTTAAATGTTTTATTATTTTTATTTTATGTGTATGCATGTATTGCCTGTGTGTAGGTAAGTACACCCATGTCGTGCAATGCCCACAGAAGACAGAAGAAGGCTGTTGGATCCCCTTAGAACTGGAGTTTCAGACTGTTGTTAGCTGCCATATGGGTGCTGGGATTCGAACCTGGATCTTCTGCAAGAACAACCAGTGTTCTTAACCTCTGAGCCATCTCTCCAGCCCTTAGAGGAATATTTTTAAAAGGGTAGAGGCAGGTCTATAGGCTCTGATACCCTCCTCTGTCCTCTGCAGGCACTGAAGGATGTGGATGAAATTACATACATGCAGGCAAAGCACACATAAATAAATAAATAAATAAATAAATAAATAAATAAATAAATAAAAACAGGTAGAATATTTAAAATGTACCAACTAATAAGTAAAATTAAAGCCAGCTGCAGTAGAACATACCTATAATCCCAGAATTTGGGAGACTACAGAAGGAAGATTTTGAATTTGATGCCAAATTAGGCATCAAAAAAAAAGTATTTAAGTAGATAGAGGAAGTTAGACATTGGTATATCTAATATTTATTCTGTAAAACTATATGCAGGTGTGTGTTTCCTGTGAGAGAGAAAGAACAAATACATGATGAAAAATTACAGTTTGGATTACATACAAATTTTATTTTCTTCTATGTGCTTTTATTTTCCAAAATAAATACATATTTAGTACTTATATAAGGAGGACCCCACCCCTAAAAAATGTTGCTATTGTCTTAACTTTTGGCTAGGCACGGTGGGACTCAGGAGGCAGAGGAAGGTGGATCTCTATGAGTTCAAGGCCAGCCTGGTCTACATAGCAAGTTCCAGGTCAGCTGGAGCTATAGGGAGACTCTGTCTCAAAAAGAAAGAAAGAAAACTTTTAACTCTTCCCCTAGAACTAACCTTCAAAGAAAAAAATAGAATGATCACAAAGAAGCCATTTAAAAACGTAAAACCAAGCTGGGTATGATGGTGCACACCTTTAATCCTAGCACTCAGGGGGCAGAGGCAGGCAGATCTCTGTGAGTTCCAGGTCAGCCTGGTCTACAGGGAGACCATGTCTCAAAAAGCAAAAAAAAAAACAAAGGAAAACCAAGGAATGTGATCACCGAGCATCTAATGTTCTTTCCCAGGTTTCTGGCCTACTTCCTTACTAGAACTACACTCTTTCTCAATAAACAATCTGTCTCTACCACCAAATAAATGAAAAAGGGGAGGGGGGGAAACAAAGCAGGTGATTAAAATGTTAGGTCCTCTCCAGCACACATGCCAGCTTCTTTCCGTGTGGCAGAAAGGACTCACCGGCTGTCACGGTCCCACAGGAGGATGCGAATGTGGTTAATAATGGACGGCTGGCCAAGCTTGATCTCAATGCCAGAGCGGCAGTCATCATCTATGGGATGCCTGGAAAAGCCATGATCCAAATCATAGTTCTGAGTGTCACCATCTAGCAAGGCCGACTTCAGCTCTCCTTTCACAACCTGGGCTCCATACTTCATAGTTGCAATGTTTTCTTCTGGTACTACAGTTAAAAATAGAAGGGGTAGGTTTAGTGGTTACTTACTAAATTATTCTATATTTGGGAGGAAAAGGTGAACTTCTAGCATTCTATTTGATTCCAGTATCTGTACTTAATTCTAAAGTTGCATAGGCAAGTCTAAGGGAATAGAAAATATGAAACGTCTACAAAGATTATGATACCTTCCAGAGTTTAAAGTGAGTGTCACCGGGCGTGGTGGCGTACACCTTTGATCCTAGCACTCAGAAGGCAGAGGCAGGCGAATATCTTTGAGTTCAAGGCCAGCCTGGTCTACATAGTGAATTCCAGGACAGCTGGGGCTACAGGGAGACCCTGTCGCAAAAAGACCAAAAAAAAATAAAAAAATAAAAAAAATAAAGTGAGTGTCACTACCATAGCTACAGCAAGCTGGGGACTAAACATTATTAAGACAAAGTTAATAATATTAAAAAAAGCAAGTACTAGAACAAACAAATCATCTCTGCTGAGTTCATTCTGTTAGTGACTTTAATTTAATTATCTGCTGAACAAAAATAGCATGTAAGATGACCTGTACCTGCCATCTGGACTGTGGACAATGTATGAAAGCAAAGCAAACAGGCCAGATACCTGATAAAACAGCAGTGAGAGAAAAGTTCCATGCTGCATAACTGTTAGTCACACAGACATTCTGAACTAATTCACCAAGCTAAAAAAGCAGGATTCTAGTTAAAGAAAATATACTTTATTTGAGGATTTCTAATAAAAATTCAGAGACCTGACATCAAAATCAGTATTACGGTTATTTAACTCCCCTCTGCTCTCCCAATATGAGATTTATAAGTGTCTGGAACTCTGAAGCCATCTACATAAATTGTCTCACAGGTCCTGAAGCTGTTGCCAGGTACTGGCATCCTAAAACCAACTCTCCACAAAAAGACAAGCCACTGCATAAATACACTCAGAGGCTGAGCATCCATCCTTTAAACGATGACTCTATCCTGAACTAGACTGTCACTTGAAAGAAGTTACCCTCTCTAAACCTTGGTTTCTAAGTAGGCAGTGTTTATGCCGACATGCTCTCTGTAAGATCCAATGAGATGATGCTGTAAAGCTATAGTATGCTCCTAAAAAACAGCCACTACTCTATTGCCATATACATGATAAGAGAACCATGCAAGTTTGCAGAGTGTAATAAACACTGGGTTCTCACAGTATGTATACATCTTGGTCATTGATGTGAGAAAGGAAAAGGCATAAGCTATAATCAGTTTCGCAGGGAAAAGACAGTAATTCATCATTGCGGAGTTTGTAGAAAATTAGTGTTTTGAAGACTTTTTCAAATGAAGACAGGTAAAGAATGGCACTGGAGGAAACAACAAACGCAACTGAAAAGTGGCGGCAACAGGCCAAATGCAAACAAAGAGCTGCAGCCACCTCAGTTTGCTGCTGTCAAGAGCTTCAGTGTTGTCGACTTACACCTTCCTAAGGTCCATTATGATCATTATCCACGTTCTTCCTACACAATGTTCCAAGCACTTTTCAAAGATCAGTTCCTTTGACTTACTCCTGGCTACACTCCTAGGAGACCACTGCAGATGAGCAGCAGGAACAGAAGAACCCAGCAGACTCACTTGCCCAAGAAGAACCAGCGAGCAGCACAGCTGAGGGTAGACCAAGGCAGTTCCACTGTTAACAGAAGGCTCTGCCCCTCTCCTTCATAAAAGGTTTCTGTGTGGATCCTAGCACGAAATCCTTATAAGTGAGTATGTATCCAGACATAACCACAGGAAACAGGATAATGAAAAGGAACCAGGGAGATAAAGGAAAAGAAAGAATATGAAAGAGAAGAACAGTAGGAAACAGGCGTTAATAAGGGAGATATGGATAAAAAATGGAGTTATTCGGGGTTATACAAGGAACCTTGGGGATAGAGGGAAAGGAGCTCAAGAGAGGTGGGACCATAGGAGAAAGGTATTATTAAGGGAGAAATGGGAAAAATGGGGGCACTTTAAATGGAGAAACCATGGTAGAAGGGTTAGACAATGTGAGAGATAAATAATGCCTAGCTAGTTTAAAAAAAAAAAACAGAGGAAACCATATTTATTGACCAACCTACTGAAAAAAGTATACATACAACTAGCTGAAGGAATATATGCTAGGCAAGGTTTATCTGAGAACCTCTGGTCTTTGCCCAAGCTTTATCTACATAGCACATGGTAATTAAAAGTACCAGACTGGTAGAACTAACCTTATTGGATGTTTAACAGTCATACTTTGAGGCCTATACTAATTCGGTCAGAGGGACATAAAGGACAGTTTTTGCTCCTTGTCCTCCTAGGTCGACTAGTTCCAGGAGACTATGATCATCTCTCAAAAGGTCCTGTAACTGTGGTGAGTCACTTGTCCTCTTGATCAAGGAGGCCATGGAGACCCCACCAAACGGACTTGAACCAGTGTCCAGTATACAAAGAGGAGAGTCAACACAGAGGAAACATTTCCTCTATGCTTCCAAGAGAAGCCAGCCACAATTGAGCAGGACCTTTGACCTATCTTGACATAGACGGAACTGGTTTTTAAAAAAAAAAAGAGCAGGGGCTCCTGCCAAGCCCATGTGACCCCTGAGGAACAGATCCTCAAATGGCCTTAAGAGTAAAAATAAATTGGTTTATCTGGGCCAACTGTATGGTCTTAAACACCCAAAAAGAAAGTATAACCAAAGATTAAAGGGATCAATATAATTCTTTAAGAGTCCATTTGTGTGGTGGTTTGAATGAAAATGTCCCCCATAGGCTCCAAGTGTTTGGACATTTTTATCCCCAGATGATGGCGCTGTTTTGGGAGGTTTTAGAAGGTGTAGCTATCCTGGAGGAAGCACGTCACTGGGAATGGGCTTAGAGAGTTCTTAAGCCTTGCCAGATCTCCAGTTTCTCTCTTGCTTCCTGTGCCTGCATGATGATGTGAGAGCTTAGCTTCTGCTGCTCCTGCTCCAGCCACCTCCTGCCACTATGCCTCCCTGCCATGATGGACTGTAATTCCCCTGGAACTGTAAGCTCAAATAAACTCTTCCTTCTATAAATTGCTTTGGTCAGTGTTCCTATTACAGCAACAGAAAAGTGACTAATACAATATGTATAGCTAAAAGCTATATTATCAAGAAACAATGCCAGACAGGAGATGCTTTTTTTTGAGTTGTTGGGCAAGGTAGCCTAAGAGACTCCCAGACAGTAACCCAGCATAGAGCTGGGAAAATGAACAGCAGACCCCGATCTTATCTAAAGGAATATTGGCAACTGAATGCTGCTAGATGAGGAAGAGCTGATCTCCCTAAAACAAGGAACTCTGGATAGGCTGACTAGATTCAGCGGACAGACAAGCACTGGGGAACGGCTGAGGGCACCAACAACATAGTGGACAGTAACAAGGATGACAGAGTATATGGGCTCCAGTGGCAGGGGGGGCTATGGGAGGGCACCATTTGGGATGTGGGTATATAGATGAATAAGACTGTTTGGGATGTTTTGTATGAAATGCACACAAAAAAATCAATGAATAAAAAAATGAGTTATATTTGAGGAAGAAGCATAAAAATTTGTTTCACGTTAATTAGTAGAGGTGAAAAACATTACCATTGAACTCTGCCTGATGACTTTATATCCATGCTCAGGTGCCAAGAATCTCAGAAAGTAACTGTGACTAGTAATAATCAGATACATAGGGATTAGAGACGCATGTGCAAACACCTAAGTGTTAGTAGATTAAAAATGAGTTTTTTCTGTATGAAATAGTATATTTTAAAATGGAGATCTTTTTTAAAGGTTAAAACCTCATTCAATCTTATGTCTTATAAGGTTTATACTGAGTTCAATATTATATAACTGTATTAATTCAACTGTGAACCTAAAAATTTACAGCCAATTTTTAAAGAGATGCATCTTTGCTCTGAAAATTGTTATTGGATGTTAATGCTGTAATGAAATGCTTCTTCTAATCATGTGGTTACTAAATAATGTGTCATGCAATGCCTGTGGAGGTCAGAAGAGGCTGTCAGATCCCCTGGGGACTGGAGTTACGGACAGTTGTTAGCTGCCATGTGGGTGCTGGGATTCAAACCTGGGTCTTCTACAAGAACAACCAGTCTTCTTAACCACTGAGCCATCTCTCCAGCCCCAATAAATAATTTTTTAAAAAAAGGTTTCTGATGAGGTAGCCACATCTTTCCATCTTTTTAACCCCTAGCTCCCTCTAAGGTTTCTTAAAACATTAGGTGCAAGAAAGTTGGATATAAAGTGAAAAAAATCTAGACTTGGCCTCTTATTCCCTGCGCCCGGACTTCTTAAGCCTCTCTGAATGTTTTCTCATCTAAAACAATAAGTAACACTTTGTCTAACCCACCTCATAGAGCTGCTATAAAATCACATCATAAACAATGCATGTCAAAGATGTATAAGTACACAGCACACATTCAGTCAGCAAGCCTTGATAAGGACTGTTCTCTACATGGTCTTGTGACACTGGGAGTCATATCCTGAATCAGACCAGGACAGGACAGGCCCTGCCCTCCTGACAACTCCAACCTAGAGATGAGGCACTTTATAAGTCTGCAAGCAAACAACCTTCAGATATTTCAGATATCAGTGATGTAACTACCTAGTAAAAATAAGTATCTTCTAGCTGGGCGTGGTGGTGCACACTTTAATCCCAGCACTGGGGAGGCAGAGGCAGGAGGATCTCTCTGAGTTCAAGGCCAGCCTGGTCTACATAGTGAGTTCCAGGACAGCTGGGGCTACAGGAAGACCATCTCAAAAAGACCAAAAAAAAAATTTTTTTAAATTAAAAAATAAGTATCTTCCCTCCTTTCTATATATAAAATGTGGAACCACAAAGCCTGCTGACCACTGAGACTATCACCTCTAGTCTTGAGACAAGACTTGCCTGCAGAAGGGAGCATCAAGCTTTCAGACTGAGAAACTGATGCCACCTTTGGATCTGTCTCTTAAATAAGCTTCTTCAGCTCTAGACTT